AGTTTGATTTGGTTTTTAAACTAAGCTAAACTAGATTAAGCTATTTCTATTTTTATTTATAATTAATAGATTTTAAATTTAAGTATTAAATCTAGATTTGCTATTAAATATATACTATAAATTTTTGAAATAATAAGCAGAGGTATTAATTTAAAAATTGCATCTCTAAAAATAGTATAGATAGTTTTAAAATAATACCTATATATAGTGTTATCATATGGATATAGATACAGATATAGACCAGACTGAACTGAACGTCTGCATCTATATCCAAAAGTAATAATATCTAGTAGACATTGTTCATAAACTGACCAATCAAATATTTGGACATTGGACAATGCCTGACAGATATTGTTCAATATCTGCAATAATCTAATTGGCTAAAAATATACCAGATACTATACAGACAGACTTCTAAATTTTTTTTTATTTACAAATATCTTTAGCTTCTTTTTGTAACAGGAGGAAGCATTAATGTTATATTCTCTTTTGTTCCTCCTGTTGAATTCTGTATTAGTATAATTAAATAAGATTTAGATTTTGTTTTTTTTTTTTTGTTGCTTTCTTGTTGCTTTTTTGTCTACTAATTTTTTTCTAGATTTGCTAGAGCATGAAATTAGTTATTTTTTTTCTTGTTATTTGTTCACTAATATCTATTTTCTTCTTTCTTTAAATTTGCCAGAATGTTAAATTTAGAGCCAGAAAGATAAGATTTTAGCTTCTATTACTTTTAGGTTTTTTTTTTTCTTGCCACTTTTTTGTTTACTATTATTTCTTTCTCTAGGCTCGCTTGAGTATAAAATTCAGACCGAAAAAATAAATCATACTTCTAGTTACTTTTTTTTTTCTTGTAACCTGTTCACTAACCTTTTTTTTCTTTTCTCTATATTCGCTAGAATATTGAATTCAGAGTCAAGAAAGTAAAATTCTGACTTCTATTATTTTTTTTTTTGTTGTTTTTTTGTTCACTAACTTTTTTTTTTTCTAGGTTCGTTAAATTAAAAATCAGAACAGGAAAGATAAGATCACATTTCTAGTTACTTCTTTTTCTTTTCTTATCATTTATTCACTTCTTTTTTTTCTCATTACTTGTTCACTAACTTCTATTTTCATCTTCTTCTAGGTTTGCTAGAATGTTGAAATCAGAGCTAGGAAGATAAAATTTTAGCTTCTATTACTTTTTTTTTCTTGTCGCTTTCTTGTTTACTAACTTTTATTTTTTTCTTTAGGTTTGCTGGGATATTGAAATCAGAGCTAGAAAGATAAAATTCTGGTTTCTCATTACTTTAAGTTTTTTTTCTTTTTCTTGTTGCTATCTTCTATTTTTTTCTTTTTTTAGATTTACCAGAATGTTGAAACAGAATCAGAAAGATAAAATTCTAGTTTCTAATTACTTTTTTTGTCTTTTTTCTTTTTCTTGTCATTTTCTTGTTCTTACTATTTTCTTTTTTTTAGGTTCACCAGAAAGTTGAAATCAAGGATTGAGAAGATAAGATTCTAGCACTAAGTTACTTTTTTTTATTTTTTTATTATTGCTTTCTTGTTATTAACTTCTAGTTCTTTTCTTTATATTTATCAAGATATTAAAATTAGAATCAAAAAAATAAGATTCTAGCTTCTAATTATTTTTTCATTTTTTGAATATCTCTTATTTGTTAATTTCATTCTTTTCTTTTGTCTTTAGGTTTGTCAAGACGTAAAGTAGATACTATAAATAGTAAAATTTTAGTTTAGTTTTTTTCTTGTTTCTAGCAAGTTACATAAATTTAGTTATCTAGTCATTATTGCTTAATAAATATCACTTGCTACATCATAAATAAAAGTCATTCAAAGCCTTGTAGTATTTTATTTGTTTTACATAAGTTTTAATAAGTTTTAATTTTCAAATTGATTAGTAATCATTTTGAATCTATATACAATATACGTACATATCTAACTTTAGAATTGGCAAATAATCATTTGGCCAATTTTTTAATAGATATCCCAAAAATAATACAATAATAAATATTTTGTATAATGATTATATAATCATCAATAAAAATAATATGGTGTTTAATTTGTTTAGTTAAATGCTTAGACATTAGACAATATTTGGCAAATAGTATCTGCCGGATATTGTCTATATTCATGCATATACTGCGAATTAGTGGTTATACCTAGTTAACCTTTTATCCGAAAGGTTGTAACCTTTAATAAAATCTAATAACCGGGTTTATATCCTATTAAGATAAGAAGTTAATAGTTATATCCTAGGTTATATTTAGATAAGATCAATGCATAGCTATCAGCCAATCAAAATTACCAGATTAATTAAAGAAATATTTTATAGTGTCTTCTGTTATTCTTCAGACAATGAACTCTATTATATCTAACATTTTACTTGATTTATATAATCAACTGAAATTCATTCTATCATAACTACATGATAAACTTGGTTTTAGCATATATCATCATCAATAATTTATAAATACAGTATAAGCATTTATCAAAATTTATAAACAAAGCAATTCTAAAATATATTAGAATATAAATGATATATGTATCAATTAAAAGTTAATAATTATGTATATGTCAGAGTTTTATTAGGATTAAATTGGATGCAATGTAAGAATAGGTATTATGTAGCAATAATGCATATATTAATTTGGCGCATAGCATATAAAATTATGATAGTTATATTTTATCCTATTTTATCTTAAGTTATCTTTTAGATTAACCGGATATCTTAATTATTTATCCGTTAATGAATTTTATAATCTAGTTATCTGGGTAACCTAACAGTTAACTGGTTACAATACCCTAGGGTACGACTACTACTGCGAACAATGTCTGATGATATTCAAATAGGTTTGAATATATAGCAGACTTGGACATTATACAGTATTTAAATATATCTGTATCCAAGAAATATACGTGGACAGTGTCTATATACAACACTGCTTATATGTATTTCAAAATAATATATATCTAATAGTAAGGGTATTAAAAATTAAAAAATACTCTGAAACTAAGTTTGGTACTATATAAATCTACTTTTAAGCTTTAACAAAAATTGTTCTTTAGATCAAGATAGTTTTAATAGTGATAAGTTTATTAAAAATAACTTAATATATCATTTACAATAGCTATTCAAATTTTTTAATATTTATTTATCTTTGTTTATATAAGCTACAACTAGAGTTGGAAGTATAAAAAAAAATTTAAATATATCTTGAAGAGTATGCTTCTGGTTAAGATATATCTTTTTTATTATACCTAAAATATATCCTGTTATTTATAACTAGATATTACTTTGCTGAATCTAACTACTCCAAAAATACTTTTAGAAATTCTGTAATTTCTAAATTATATAATTTTAAAAAGAAAAATTATAAATGGCAACCCCTATATGATCAGCCAATCATTTTTAAGTTTGGCGATCATATATAATAACAATAATTATTTGTTTACAATTTTCGGTTGTTTTTTTTTGATTCATTTTTTTTTTTTTGATTCATTTATTTTTTTTTTTTTCTTTTATTAGCTGTTAAAGTCATAACCTTTGGAATTATTATTAGAGTTGTCGAGTTTCGTTGCCTTTTGTCATCTTTTATCATCGTCGCTGGAACTTTCTGGGTGAGTAATTTAAATATTATTTCATTAGTTTTTTTTTTTTTATCAATTTTTCTAATACTTTTTGGGAACTTTCTTGACTTATTCTTGAACTTTCGCTTGGACTCTCTCTTGAACTTTTTTTTGGACTTTTTCTTTTGTTTCAGGGTTGTTTTTCTTTTTTCTTTTTTCTTAATTTTTTTTTTCTTTTTCATAGTTTTTTTTTTTCTTTTTTTTGACTTTTTTTTTTTGCTAAATTGTAATCTTTGGGGTTTTCGTCGCTAGAGCTACTGCTGTCTTTAGAATTTTCATCGCTGAAACTTTCTGAGTAAGTAATTTAAATTTTTTTTATTAGTATTTTTTTTTTCTTTGCCAACTTTTTTTAACACTTATCTTGGTTTTGAATTTTTGCTTGGACTTGGACTTTTCTTACTTCTCTTGAAATTTTTCTTGGACTTTTACTCTGACTTTCTTTTGAATTTTCACTTATACTTTCTCTTGAACTTTCGCTCAGATTTTTTGGGATTTTGCTTGGACTTTTTCTTGAGCTTTCGATTGAATTCTCGCTAGGACTTTTGTTTCAATTTTGCTTTTTTTTTTTTTTTTCTTTTTTGCTCTTTTTTTTTCTCTTTTTTTTCACACATCTATTTTTTCTTTCCCTGATCTGTTCTTTTGTTCCCCTCCTTTTTTTTTTGTATTTTTTTTATTCGCATTTTTTGAACTAACATTCTTCTTTTTTTAGTTGTAATTTTAGCATTGCCAAAATCATAGTTCTTGGAGCTTTTGTCGCTAAAACTTTCTGGGTAAGTAATTTAAATGTTTTTTATTAGTATTTTTTTTTGCTAATTTTTTGATACTTATTGGAAACTTCTTTTGGTCTTGGACTTTCTCTTGGATTTTTCTTGGATTTTCTCTTGGCTTTTATTTGAATTCTTGCTGGGACTTTCATTTTGGTTTTCTTTTTTTCTCCTTTTCTCTATTTCTTTTTTTTTCTTTCTTTGGTCTTTTTTCATTTTACTTTCATTTTCTTTCTTTTATTTGTTTCTCCTTTTTTGTTCATTTTTTTTTGTATTTGTTTTTTTCTTTCATTTTCTCTTTGTCTTTTGTTATTTTCTTTTTCTTTTGTTATTCACTTTTTCTTTTATTATTCTCTTTTCTTTCATTCTTTCCTTTTTCTTTCGTTCTCTTTTTTTTTGTTATTCCTTTTTCTTTCGCTTCTTCCTCTTTTCTTTCATTCTTCCCTTTTTTTTCGTTATTTCTTTTTTCTTTTATTATTTTCTTTTTCTTCGTTATTTTCTTTTTCTTCGTTATTCCCTTTTCTTTCATTATTCCCTTTTCTTTCATTATTACCTTTTCTTTTGTTATTCTTTTTTTCTCTCGTTTCTCATCTTTTCTTTTATTCTTTCATTTGTTTTTCATTATTACTTTTTTCTTTCGTTTCTTTTCTTTTCTTTCACTCTATCATTTTTCTTTTATTCTTTCCTTTTCTTTTATTATCCTCTTTTCTTTGTTCTTTCTCTATTCTTTGTTTTTCATATTTTCTTTTGATTTTTCCTTTTCTTTTGTTCTTTCTTTTTTTTTGAGTTCTTGTTTTTTTTTTTTCTTTTTGTTATTTCTTTTTTCTTTCTTTCTTCTTTTGTTCTTCCTTTTTCTTTTTCTTTTGTTCTTCTTTTTATTTTTCGATTTCCTCTTTTTTATCTTCTATTTTCATTTTTTTTTTTTTGTCTTTTCTTTTTCTTTTATTTATTTATTTATTTTTGTAATTTATTCTTACTAAAGTTCTTCTCGTTGTTGGAGTCATTGTCGAAATCGCTATTGGAGTCGTTGTCGAAATCGCCGTTGGAGTCATTGTCGAAATTGCTATTAGAGTTGAAGTTGGAGTTATCGTGTATTTTGAAATTTTTTGCAAGAAATTTGGGTAGATTTTTGATCATTTTGTGCTATTGAATTTTTTGTTTTTTTTTAATTGCATAACGACTTTTATAAGATATTTGTTTTAGTTTTTTTTTTTTTTTTTTTTATTAAAAATGTAGTATTTAAAAAAACATTTCAATAAATAAAATCGCACAATCACGTGATCGATTGTGATTGGTCAATCACAGGGTCGCTATAGCAATGGGTTGCCATAAAATAACACCTTTTTAAAAATATCATATCTTTTATATTCTTTTTATTGGGTTTATATTATAAAATCTAATTATCTATTATACAGGCTTTTTTAAAATATTTTAAAATAGTTATAAGATCTTGTAGCCAATCAGAATACTTTAATTTTATATAATCAAAATTTATAATTATATAATCTAGGTATGCTATTTGGCTTAAAAGTATACTCTCAAGGTATGCCCTAAAATACTATGCTTTTAACTTTAACTATAATTTATATAAACAAAAATAAACATATATTGCAAAACTTTGAAAAGTTATTATAAATAATATACTGAACTGTTTTTAATAAATTTACTATTAATAGAACTATCTTAATCTAAATAACAACTTTAATTAAAGCCCAAAAATAAATTTATTTAATACTAAACCTAATTTCAAAATATTTTTATTTATTTATTTTTTATATAAAAAATATATATAATTTTATATTTGTTTCAAAATAATATCTATATATATACTCAAAATAACATGTATATATTTAAAATAACATACAGATACCTGCTATTTTGAAAATTTACAGTATATATATCTATATAAATTAAACAGTTAATAATAAATATTTGTTAAATTTAGCAAAATAAAGTATTTTTAAACAAAAATACTGTATTCTTTAATAGAATTTTAATCTATTACACAATTCTGTATATAGCAGTATATTAATTATTTGATTAATTTGAACAATTTAACTGATTTGACTATAGTCAAATTGTTTAAATTGTTTAAATCAGTTAAATAATTAGTTATACAGACCAATTTGACCAATTTAACTATAGTTAAATTGGTCAAATTAGTTAAATTGATCTGTATAACTAATTATTTGATTAATTAACCAAACTAATCAAACCAATAGCTATTTGACTAATAATCATTAAATTTTTAGTTAATTACAGATTTTAACAATACTAGATATAATATATTTATATTAGTATTTCAATTCTATTTTTAACAAACTATTCAAATTTATTAAATTTGAATTGAATTTATATTAAATTATATATAAAACTAGCTTTTGTATATACTTTTAGATTTATTATTTAAGTTTTTGGCCAATTCAAATAAAAATCTCTAATCTAAATATCTAAATTTATTTAGATTTAAAAATCAATTTGAATAGTTAAATTTCAAATTAAAATACTAATTTATATGAATTCAGTAATATTATTCACATGATATACAAGTTTAAAATCAGAATTATTTTCTCTTAAAAAAATATTTTTTCTTATTCTTATAAAACAACTTGACTATATATATTTTTAAATATAAGTAAACAACTCATATATTTTTTTTTAAATATATATAATATGTCAAAACCCTTCTTATCTACTCTAAACTTGATTAATAATTATGCTTACAACTAAAATAGTATGAAAGTTAATGCTGATAAACTTTGCACTTTTACAATCCTAAACTTCTATTTTTTTGTTTATTTTTATAAATAGTTATATAAATACTTTGAACAAAAAGCTTTGGTATAGAATGTCTTTGGCTTTTTTAAAAGTTATAACTTGTAAAAAAATATCTTACATGTTTTGAAACAATTACAGATACAGATAAAGGTCAAAGATATAAAAAGGCTTAGAAATTATTTGACAATTGCAAACAGACAAGTTTGAAGGTTTTTAATAAATAAGTGATATAGTAAAAATCTTCAAGATAACTATTATTCAAAACTCTAGATCAAGCCACAAGAACAGTATTAAGATACAGGTGGTTTCTGAAATTGCCTGATGTTTAAGTCTCTAAAACTACTAATACTATTAAACAAGGTGATCTCTGGAATTGTCTGATGTTGAAATAAAAGTTAAATAATGATATGAAAGTTAAATAAAAACATGATATTCAAGAATATTGCTAATCTGTAAAATTATTGTTTTAGGGAGATAAACTAGATAAAAAAAAAGACCAAAGAATAGAAAAAAACTTGTTTATATATGCGGGTTCATATCGATCAAACTATAAGAAGAGAAACAATCAATAGTGTAATTAATAATATAAATGGAAGCATAAGTGGTGGAATTCTTAATATAAAATCTACACCAAAAAGAACTAACCAAGAAAAAGTAAAGACATGTAATTTTTTTTAACTAAAACTATTTTGGTTTATAACTAATTGCAATTTTAATTCTTAGAATAACGATAAAATCCAAAAATAGACTAGGATCAATGACTATTTTCAAAGAACTCATATGTAATTTTCAGGTCACAATGATATTTTTTTATAATGCTTTCTGATGTATACATAACACAAATCATAACAGGAACAAAATTCTATGGATCATTATTCAATTCCTGATCATGAAAAAGTTATTATAGAAAACGTTAATAACAAAGATGCTTACACAAAAAATCCAACTATCTCATGAGGTAATGAACCTTGCATAAATTTAAAGCTGCAGTTTATCTCGCCTGATCTCTGATTATGCCATATCTTCGAATTCACAGAACGTGACGGAAGAAGTTCGTAGCATTATTGAAAAGATACAGCGTATCTCTTTTGTATAATCAATCATTTGTTAACTCTTGTTATCAAATGTTTAATTTTTTGTAGGAGTCACCATTACAATGTACACAATAGATATATACTGTATTAAGTTTTTAAAATCACAATTTTTCATTTTACAAGAATTTTTAAATAACACGAAGGAAATTATATTTCCGCAATTCACCAAACAAGTGGGATGTCGTACATGCTCATGTATACAATAACGAATATTATACAATAGAAAATTATTCTTTAAAAATTTAGCATCCTCCCTGAAATATCACAGCTATACTATAATGCAACTAAATGCTAAAAAGTAAAAGATTCTAGCTACAAGAAAACCGTGAATGTTGCGAAATTGAATGTGAATTCACTATCTTAAAAATGTAATGATATAAAATCAATAACGATAAGTAAAGTTTAGTGTACACGTTAATTTGTGACTATTCGATAGAGATTCTGCTTTTATTATCGTTATAGAGCTCTGCACTTTACATTCCTAAACAATTCAAGCACAAAGATGTTAAATAATGTTGTTGATATGGCTTCTCATCTGGCTTATTGTCGATGATGCTAAAATAACTATCCCTTAAACCGTTTGAAATTCAGGGCAAATTTGCCCTGAATTTTACTATAAAAATACTTCTGATCTATTTTTT